ATGAAACAACTGACAAAGGATTAATTTCCAAAATATACAAGCAGCTCATACAACTCAATGCCAGAAAAACAAACAACCCAATCAAAAAGTGGGAAAAAGACCTAAACAGACATTTCTCCAAAGAAGACATACAGATGGCTAACAAACGCATGAAAAGATGCTCAACATCACTCATTATTAGAGACATTCAAATAAAAACTACAATGAGATATCACCTCACACCAGTTAGAATGGCCATCATCAAAATGTCTACAAACAATAAATGCTGGAGAGGGTTTAGAAAAAAGAGAACACTCTTGCACTGTTGGTCATCAGTATAGGTTTCCCAGGTGGCTCCATGGTAAAGAATCCTCCTGCCAAGCAGGAGACCTGGGTTCAATCCTTGGGTCAGAAAGATCTCCTGGAGAAGGAAATGCCTACCCACTCCAGCATTCTTGCCTGAAAAATTCCATGGACAGAGGAACCTGGCTGGACCCATGGGGTCTCAAAAGAGGTACCACTTAGTGACTAAACAACAACATAGAGGAAGAGCTCTAGCTATTGAATGAATGAGAAATAAAAATAAATATCCTAGCTCTAACTGCAATTGGAATATAACTTATCTGTTGGATCCTTACCCAGAGTATAAGTAATTAACCTATTTGTACCAGAAATCTGCATCCCTTAAAAGCTTATTATTGCTTTCAAAACAGTACTACAACAGCAAAAACAAGTTATCATTGTTAGCTCCTGTTAGGAGCAGGGTTTCTTCATAAGGAATCGATTAGCCTGTATTATGCCTCCATTCCTTCATAAGGAAACCATTTCCTGCTTTCCCCTACTCTCACCCACCCCACATTCACAAACACACCTCTCCTTTAGAAAACTTTCTACCTCTGCTTCAATCTTCTTCTATGTGGGGCTGACAATTCTACAACCCAGGCCACGGGGATGTGAGACTACCTCTAGGTCAATAGGATTCTTCTTTTTGTGATTTTTAAAACTAAAACTAAAAGAACACACGTGCCTCAAACAAGCCCCATGAAGAAAGCTGGTATCAAACCAGCCAATTCTAAAGGAAATCAATCCTGAATATTCACTGGAAGGACTGATGCTGAAGCTGAACCTCCAACATTTTGGCCACCTGAAGCGAGGAGCCAACACATTAGAACAGACCCTGATGCTGGGAAAGATTGAAGGCAGGAGGAGAAGGGGACGACAGAGGATGAGATGGTTGGATGGCATCACTGACTCAACAGACATGAGTTTGAGCAAGCTCCAGGAGCTGTGAAGGACAGGGAGGCCTGGTGTGCTGCAGTCCATGGAGGTCACAAAGAGTCGGACAGGACTGAGTGACTGAACAATAACAACAGAATGTACAGAATGAAGAAACAGAGGACACACACGGTTCCAGATCTTGCTTCCAGTTGTCACTTAAATCAGAGCACTTTCTCTCCTTGGCTTAACTTGCAGTTTGTTTGTTTATGGAAAGTAAAATCGTATCACTTGAAAAAAGACTATCATCTTCCAACTAAAGCACATCCATGATCTCATTTAACCCTCCCAACAACTATATGCAGTAGACTGTGTCTTTATTTTATGGATAAGGAACCAGAAAGCTCAGAACAGAGAAGAAGCATGCTCAAGGCATCTGATTAATAGCTGAGCTATGATTCAAATTAGGTCATTCAGATGCCAAAATGCAAACACTTGACTTTCCTGCCTCTTTCTGAACCACTCTTTGAGCAACCTGAACACCAATTTGAATTCAGTGACCCTAGACAATAGGCAGAAAGCACAAGTCTTCTCTTCATTAATAAAAATAGATGCTATTGATATTGGTTAACTCCCGGGGGTATTACAGACTTCAATTAAATACCTTGATAAAGTGCTCTGAGAATATAAACAGGCATTGTTTTATAGACTACACTACTAAACATTTGCATCTTACAATGCCAATAACTGGGATGCAGAAAAATAGTGCTTTTTAAAAAGTAATCCAAAAAGACCCTGTGCATAAATATTTGGTATTAGTAATTTAACTGAACATTAATATGTTTGCTTCAGACACTAAGATATAATTGATATTTCAGAAGCGGGTTCCCTCAAAAGACCTTAAGTTAATCCAAAAGGCAAAACATTTCTAGAAAACTGAATCTTCCTACTATTGCAGAAAAATCAGTTAGAATTTTAATTGGTACTTCTTTAGTCTCAGTACTTGCTCATAGCCGTAATGTGACCATGATCTTCCCGGTCAATTATTAACACAAATCATGATTTGGGAATGGAGGAAAGCAAACATACACAAACCAAAGGAAGATGGATTTGTGTGTGAACCTAATTTTCCTCCGAAGAAAAACAGACATCTCCTCCAACGTAAGGGTATACTTAGATTTACTTTTCCTATTAGTAACTTATTTAGTATGGCAACAGACAAAAGGCAATCCATTAAAAAGCAATTTTCCTCTTACTCCAGGGTGTTTCATCATTTGCTATCTAGCACTCAATCAGAATGTAGCAATCCTTTAATATTTTATGAGTAGAAAACAACCAATTTGGGCATGTAGACTTCAGAAATGTGGGGGTCTTTGGTAGGCTTGCAAAATGTCGGAAATGGCCTCTGTAGTCAGTAGAGGGTGAACAACAGGTCAACTTGAAAGCTCAGATTATCGAAATTTGAAAATTATGTTTTAGATCAGATAATGGGTGTATATATACAAATATTTATGAATATATCAACACATATTTATAACTAAGAGGAAAAAAACATCAGTTTCAACTCATATACTTTCTCAAGTGGAAGACTGACTCCTGGGGACAGAGACCATATCTGGTTCACCTTTGTGCCCACAGTGTTCAACATAGTCTCTGGCATATTGTAATTAATCAGTAGATTTTTATTAAATGAATGAATAGATGCATTTGTCATCTTAGACAAAAAGAAGCCTGCCACGGAGATGTGAGAAACCAGACCTGAGCAGGTACTAAGCAAGTTGCAGCAGCATGTTGGAGGCCTTCTCTGCTTCTCTGCAGCAGAAGGTTCTCACCTTCTGAAATGGTGCATAGTGTCTGGAACACCTCCAGGGATCCCAGAGGTATTTGCCTTCATTCTTACTTGGTTACCTCAGCCCATAGGAATGGGATTCTCTCCTGGTTCCTGGCTTGACTACCAGGTCCTCAAAAATCTGGGGCGGGTGCTCTACACCAGGCAGAGGTAGGAATATGAGCACGTAGTGAAGTCTGCTACTCATTACTCAAGGACACAAATGTCATAAGTAGCCAAGACAGAACCCTGCTGCCTGTTGTCCCCAACATTCTCCTTCTAGTCCACCATATTTCTGTTCTGTGCTAACTTGTAGCATAATGGACACATGTCCATTGGGCAAAGGAGAAAAGCAGAAAGCTGGGTATGACAGTCAAAGCACACAAGAGCATACCTTCTGCCATCATCAAGATGAGAGCAGAGAGCCAAAGCAGGCCACTGGGGAAGACAAAAATGAAGGCAGGACAAGAAAAGGACACTGCAGGGCAGTAATCTGGACACAGGATATACCAGCCAAGCAGACTGTGACTGTTCTCATTTCTGAAAATCTTGGATAGTCATCAGTGCCTTTTAGCAAGTGACTGTCTATACTTTTCCCCATCAAATTGAGATAAACAGGAAATAGTCAAGCTTATCAGACTGAGGAATTCAGGAGGACATTTTTGATTCAGGACTTTAATTCTTCAGTGGAATACCTAGTAAGCTACACAGCAGACATAAATCTCTACAAGTTAGTGAAATGAAGAGTAGGAAGGATAACTCAGGTCAAGGATTGAGGTAAAAATGAAATGTTAGCACTGGTGATAAGTGAACCTAAGCAGACTACACAGACATCTCTCAGGATAGGTTGTTACTCTTTTAATGCAAAAATGACTTAATTTGGGCTCATAAATAATGAATTTTCATGGGAGTTCCACACCCACTTTGGTTTCTTCTCCCACCCACATTTGGAGGATGATAACACTTGCTGTTCTTGGTCAAACAGGCTCAAATTCTTAGCTTTTTTCCTTATTAAGTTCTACATTTTAAAATTTACCTCAGCAGTGATGGTAGTCAGTTTTACACTGTAAATAAAACATAACCCCCTTTTCAATTTCATCTTTAGATTCCTCCCCATCAATCATTACAGACCATTATTTTACACTCTCAAACAGGTGACTAAATATTTATGCTTTCATAATAATACCGAACACTAGACATTCCTCTGGTATAAATAGCTTTCGTTGGTGCCTATGTTATTAAGTCTACAAGAAAAGATTTATATGTGTGTCGGCTCTATAGCTGTTATAGGGAATGGAGTTTAGCTACTATAGGGAGACTCAGTGTTAACAATGATTGTAGGCCAGGTTAAATCAGATTTGCCTTAACTGGTTAAAGCCAAATTATGCCAGGGAGCAAAAGGCAAGAAAATTATCATGCTCTCTATTTCTAGCTATCCTCTCTTAAATTCTGTAACACTGTGTAAGGAAGGAAAAGAGCAATAAACATATTTCTGACCACATTTTTCATGATCAGCTACTCATTTCCTTCAACAATTCTATCTTTCATACAGAAAGGATTCTAAGGAAGTAAAATACCAGAAGCAAGAGAATTTCATTAAAGTGTGCAATTTTTCTTTATATAAGAAAGATGTTTCAAAAAGCAAAAAGAAAATGATCTACTGATAGCTTAAAAATGATTTTTTAAGAAGAAACCCATAGATCTTTTCCTAAACAGAGCAATATACACTCTTACAATATTTTTAATTTGGTCACAATACCCACACATTTTTCCATTCCTGTAGATTTTAATATTTATTCCCAGAGCAGACATGCAGAAATACATACACGGGAAACCTGAGTCAAAGAATGTTTGGTCCACGGGAATGATGCCCATGCTCAGCTGTCAGCACCTTGGGAACCCTGCTTGTAGGTCAGAGCAACCCCAGAAACTGGATCTCTGCCAAGCTTCAAACCCTGTGGGAAACGAGGGTACTTACGCAGCTCTCCCACTTTCAGGATTTCACACAGCATCTTGGTCAGTTCTATACTACTGCGGCCAAAGGGACATTCATGCTTATCTTCTCGGCTACTATTCTCAAGCACAATCTGCAAGCAGGAAAGGAAAGAGGTCAGAAAGGTAAGTCAGTTTACAGAAAACATCAAAAGTGTTGGCTGTATTGTAATAGAGAAACAGATCCACTCCAGACCACCAAACTAGGTCTCTTGGGAGCAGAACAAAATTGTACTCTAAGTATAGCCTCTGTATATAGGGCTGGAAACTCTCTTGTTTTCCAAATCTCCTAAAACCACTTCCAACTCTGTAAAAGGATATTTTGCTCATCAGTTTCCACTTACACAGAGGTGCCCATGGAGAGTTTTAAAAAATAGTACAATAAAGACTTTTTACATAAGTAACAAAACCACCCTCTTATTCTCCCAGTCATATCTTCCCTTTCCTGGGAATAGCAGCTCTCCTTTAACAACTTCAGCTCCTACAGTTTCTTTCTTTTTTTTTTAAATATTCTTTTCCACTATGGTGTATCATCGGGTATAGAATACAGTTCTGTATGCTATACAGTAGGACCTTGTTGTCTCCCCATTCTATATCTAAAAGCTTGAAAGAAAGTGAAAGTCGCTCAGTTGTGTCCAACTCTTTGCAACCCCATGGACTGTATAGTCCATGGAATTCTCCAGGCCAGAATACTGGAGTGGGTAGTCTTTCCCTTCCAGTGGATCTTCCCAACCCAGGAATTGAACTGGAGCCTCCTGCATTGCAGGCAGATTCTTTACCAACTGAGCTATAAGGGAAACCATGTAAAAGCTTCAGTTCAGTTCAGTTCAGTCGCTCAGTCATGTCCGACTCTCTGTGACCCATGAATCGCAGCACGCCAGGCCTCCTTGTCCACCACCAACTCCCAGAGTCTACTCAAACTCATGCCCATCCAGTCGGTGATACCATCCAGACATCTCAACCTCTGTCGTCCCCTTCTCCTCCTGCCCACACTCCCTCCAAGCATCAGGGTCTTTTCCAGTGAGTCAACTGTTCGCATGAGGTGGCCAAAGTATTGGAGTTTCAGCTTCAGCATTCAGTCCTTCCAATGAATATTCAGGACTGATCTCCTTTAGGATGGACTGGTTGGATCTCCTTGCAGTCCAAGGGACTCTCAAGAGTCTTCTCCAACATTATAGTTCAAAAGCATCAATTTTGCAGCGCTCAGCTTTCCTCGCAGTCCAACTCTCACATCCACACATGACCACTGGAAAAAATCACAGCCTTGACCAGATGGACCTTTGCTGGCAAAGTAATGTATCTGCTTTCTAGGTTGGTCATAACTTTCCTTCCAAGGAGTAAGCATCTTTTAATTTCATGGCTGCAATCGCTATCTGCAGTGATTTGGGAGCCCCAAAAAATAAAGTCTGACACTGTTTCTACTGTCTCCCCATATATTTCCCATGAAGTGATGGGACCCTGCTAATCCTAACCTGCCACTCCATCCCTCCCCTCCAACCCCCTTCCCCTCGGCAACCACATGATTCCGTTTCAAAATAGGTTCATTTGTTTCATATTTTAGATTCCACATAAAAGTGACATCATATGGTGTTTGTCTTTCTCTTTTTGGCTTACTTCACTTAGTTTAATAATTGCTAACTGCATCCATGTTGCTGCAACTGGTATTATTCCATTTTTTTAAATGGTTCAGCTCTTATATTTAATCACATATTTCCCACAGGAGTTTCCACATTCTTATAAGAGCTCACCCCTGGCATTAGTTGACCAAGCACACCCAACGGGCATGTGACACAAAATGCACCAACCAGAGTCCTTCCCTGAGACTTATCACCAAAATGGGAAAAATTGGCCCAACTATGCTGATACTACCCAAGAGGTATGAGTGTAGGAACTACCTGAAAGTGAGTCTGCAAGGAAAAAAAAAAGCAAGTCAAAATGCAAGGGAAAACAGAGAGGAGAGGCAGGGGTGGCCGTGGCAGCAGTTGAGTGATGAGCAAAACTACCTCCCCAAATTTATGGTTTATTTGCTCAACCCTCCCTCTGAAAATTATTTGTGCCATCTAACAAATTCTCTTCTTTCCTTAAGCTGGTTTGAGATATTCCCACCATAACTAAGGGAGCCATTCAGCACATGTATTAAACAAAAGTAAAACAAAAGAGGAAAAACTCTACTTCAAGAATCAAGGGCTATTAGGCAGCTGTCCTAAAGCACACAAAATAACAATAATAAAAAAAAAATTAAGGTTGCCAAACTTCAAATTCATACATTGACAAAAAGAATAATCAGCTTATTCATCTCTGAAGCACCCTATAACTTCCCCAGTGGGGTTGTCTGGAATGTCCTTAAAAGCTATAGGACCCTCAGTAGGTGTCTCCCAGAAGCGTTTACCACAATGCAGTGCACCGACTTATGTGGTTTTCCCCCAAGACTAAGACCTCTTCAGTGGAAGAAATGGTGTTTTATTCATTCAATCAACAGTAGTAATTGAGTACCTACTGTCTATCAGAAAGATGCCTAGGACCATAGAGTGGAGAGCAAGACCAGGGCTCTGACCTATAGGAGCATCCATTCTAATCATGGGAGACAGACAAAAGAAAAGAGGCAATTACAGAGAGAGTAGCACTGATATATATACACTATCATGTATAAAAGAGTTAGTGGGAAGTTGCTAAATAACACAGAGAGCCCAGCCTGGTGCTCTGTGATGACCTAGAGCAGAGAAGTGTGGGTGGGAGTGGAGGGAGGGGAGGGAGGGAAGGGATACACACACACACACACACACACACACACACACACATATGACTGATCTGTGTTGATTTACAGCAGAAAGCAACACAACATTGTAAAGCAATTTTCCATCAATTAAAAAATTAATATATTTTTTGAAAAAGAGGTAGTTATAGTTTACAACAAGAGCTACCAAAAAGATTAACTGGTTGAGGTGGTAAAGAGTAATGAGAAAGACCTGGAGAGGAGAGTGCAGATAACCAGGTGACTATTAGAAATCAAGAGGTGAGATAGAGTTTGCCATGTCAAGGTCTAGACGAAAGAATATTCCAGGCAGAGATCAAGGACAGAGCCACTAGGTTGAGTAGGGTGTGTTTCAGACACATTCTCCTCACATGGCCTGGTCCACAATGCGGAGGGGTCTGGAGCTGTGCAGGGCAGTATTTGGATTCCAGGAGCCTGAGCAGGGGAGAGAGAGCCAGAGGGCATAGAGGTTGGCTGAAACCACTGCCCCAGGGCTCCAGTGGGTGTCATTTTCAAATTCTGAGATGCTAACCTGGAGGTTTGGACAGGTGGGCAACATGGCCTGATTTGTTTTGAAAGATCTGCAAGTGTAAAGAATGGATAGAAGGACCGAAGAAAGAAAGTGCAGACCTTGCGGAGGGCCTATAGCATCCCTGGCAGAGACGGAGGCGGCTCAGCTCTGACTGCAAGGGTGCACTCATCACACAGAAAGTGATCAAAAAGGCAAGGAGAACACACAAGAAACGAATACAGAAAGGTGTTTAGGAAAGACAGATAACAGGAAGACTATTTGGAAGAAGTGAAGAAATAAGGAGAAAATTAAAAGGGGAAGAAGGAAAAGTAAATGAAAGTGCTGTTTTATTTACACAGACTGGGCTCCATATAGCAAAGTAACATGTGGCAGCACAGTATACGGAGAATGGTTTAAAAACAAAGGAGTATGGACTTCCCTGGCAGTCCTGTGGCTAAGATTATGCCGTCCAATGTAGGGGGATCAGGTTTGACCCCCAGTCGGGGAGTTAAGATCCCACACGTCTCACCAGCAAAAAAAACACAAAACATAAAACAGAAGCAATATTGTAACCAATTCAATAAAGACTAAAAATAGTCCACTTCAAAAATAAATTAAAAAACCCAAAGGAGTAGAATTTCAAAACAAATGTGCCCCTATTGTTTTCCTCACAAACACTATAACAATACACACACAAATATACACACACATAATCATAGGCATTGACAGTACCACACAAACAAATCAACCATTTCCATTTGAGGATGTTATTTCCAGCAAGCATCACATGTATGCTTAACCCTAATCACAACAGAAACAGTTCCACTTGCTGCATCAGGGGCAATTTTCAAAGCCTTCATCATCGATGCTTTATCACCCTTATGACTGTCCAAGAAGCTGATGAACTATCCCATTCTGTGGGACTTGTCAACTGCAGCACGTGCATGCCTGCTCAGTCACTCAGTCAAGTCCGACTCTTTGCAACCCCATGGACTGTAGCCCTCCAGGCTCCTCTGTCCATGGGATATTTGCAGCACATGCTCACATAAATAATTATGCATTGACCCTCAGCATGAATCTAGCCTCTGCTATCCTTAAGATTCATCGTAAAAATTCTTTCTCACAGTCTCCTTAGCCAACACACATTCTGCGTTAGTTGCTTTTTTCTCTCAGAAAGCTCATCATAAACTCCAACTAAATTCCTTTTCCTTTCCAAGCAGAAAGGACCAGCATTGGAGTCCTTGAACGGCTCTGCTCCTGTTCATGTCTTTTCTGGAAATCTGTGTGAATGTGAACAGTCTCCTTCAACTGAACCTGAATCACCTTCTTGCTTTTAGGTGAATCTTTTCTGGTTCTAACCAAAAATTCCAGTTCAGAAAAGCAGAAGGGAAGAACAACTATATTCCCATCCATCAGTGAATTTTCATTTCTCTTTGAAAATATTTGTATCTGAGACAGCCCTATCAAGGAGCAAATCTGAATCTCTGGATGATGGGGAAATGAAGGGAGGAAACACAGCACAAGACAGAACAGAAAGAAAAGACAGGAGACAGGTAGTTTTCAGCCAGCCTGTAGCTCCCACCGAGGACATTCCCTGGCATTTCACATTAACATTTTATCAACATTTCATGAGCACATCAATATTTAATGAGGATGTGATCTGAATACACTGCACGTGGAATTACTGCAGCCAATAAATGTTCCAAAAACATTTCCAAGGCACTGTTTATTAGCAGGCACTAAATTAAGGAGTAATTTAAGTAACCAATATGTAAATCAGCTTGGAAAAGCCCTGCTCTTCACTTTTTAATGTACCATCCATCTTATCATAT